AACGACAAGGTTTTTCTCGTCTCTTTTAACACACAATAATAAGCCCTAAAGTAGCGCCACTGCATACATAACCGAGGCAATGATTTGCATTTTCTCGGCTCATCTCGTTACGTCTCTCTTTCTCGGCTCGGTCACAATTGAAAACGTCACTCTCTGCGCAGCTCGTCGTTCACACGCAGCGGCAAAGTACGCATAGCGTTGGTGTTGGTGGCACGCCAGAAAGTCGCAAAATTCAACGCAAACACACGTGTGTGTACATGTGCGTGCGCGAGCGTGTAGGAACGAGCTGTCGGCTCGCAGCGTTGTTGCAAGAAATATAGGTGAGGCATTAGCTATATCAATATCCACTTATGTACGCTCGAAAGTAATCACTTTCCTACGAGCTACGCTGCCACCGCTACAACAGCCGCTGCTGCTTCGTGGATATTATCATTGGAACATACCGTGACATATATATAACAGTCGGCAGTATGTAGCATGTACGGCACTCGTATCCCCTCGATGCCTTGGCCCGCGAGGTATCACTCATTAACGGCTCCGGATTGTCGTTGTATCATAATATTGCACTGCGCTCTCCGCACGTGGACTCGCAAGATGAATGTATTACCATAATTATATGTGGCCATTGCATAAGAGGCATAGCGCTCATAGTGCAGCTATTGTAGCCGTACGTATCCATCTACAGCTGGCTTACATTTCAGTCGGATTGTTCTGGGTCTTTTTTTTTATTCCTGTTTTTTTTTCTGCATCCTCGTGAGCGGCTTCTACATATATACCTATACGCGGATTATATGTATAACGTGTACGAGAGCAGTTAAAAATCCTTCGACTCGCGCGAGCGCCTGCCACCTGCACAGCTCGAGCAATAGCTACCAATTTGTTGGCAATTATTCGCCGGCGAGCAGAGATTGGCCAAGCTCTACCAACGAATTACACGTATTTTCTTTATTTTTTATATACATTTTCAATAATAATTACTCGTCGCGTGGATGATTTCAAGTCAAAGGTATATACAACCTCTTCGACTGCCGAAGCAGCAACGACCAAACGATATTATGACATCCGCGCCAATGGGAATTCAAAGAGATATTTCATCATCGACTTCTTTGAATCGGTTAGAGAAGCCGATAGTGTACATGGAAAACGCGTAAAATTCTCCACTCTCGAGTTTACACCTCCTATAGAGCTTTCCCGAAGCTGGAAAATAATGCAACTTATTTACGATACATGCCTGTCTGTATATTCAGGTCGATTCGTGCAGGCAACTACGTTATCAAAGCTCGCTACCGAGAGACAAAAACACTTTGTCCAGAAGCTTTAATATGCCTTGTCTATCGCTTACATCGAGTTCGTCGAAATTTCCGGGCTTGGGGAAAAATTTACAATTTATCGTCAATATTTGAGCTTCGATGACTATCCCACGTATTATGAAGAATTTTCCGGTGACGCGCCAATGAAGCTACGAGCAATGCGCGACGTCTGACAAATTCGCGAAAAATCTGCACATGTGCAACTACGTCAGAGCTGGCCGATCGACGATACTTTGCATCTAAACTGCGTAACTGCAGCCGAGGAGCATAGCATTATCTATTATATGGATATTACAGAAACCGGTGCTATTTATACAATACTCTCCGTCTCTTTCTTATCGCGCGGAATAAATTATTTTTTTATTGCGTAAGCGTCTCCTTCTTTTTTACCATTTTCTGACGCTTTTTGGAAGATTTCGCTATTTATTATGAGCGCACCGCGGTATTTATACCTCGCTCATTGGTATAATTGGCTCGCTTTTTTTTTTATAAATATTCCTTGGCCAATCTCGATTTTTATGCCGATCGCGATGTTCGAACGATTTTGCCACAAGGAAAATCGTCGGTTGAATACCGAGAAAGGAGATGTAGGTGAAGTTGTGAAACTTAAGCTTTGATGAGCTTCGATGATATAAAAAAATGTAATAATTATCGTAAATCGTATTACTGATTATACTAATGAACTAGTCCAACACACTCGAGTCGCAAATCAAGCTGCGATAGTAGATAAATCTTTATCGTTTCTTATCGAATGAGTGTAGCTGAATCAATCGTTTGTGACAAAAATATATGTTATAATAAATGTCTCGATTTGGGAGAGAGAGAAAGTTGACGAGAGGAGGAGAGGAAAAAAGTTGCCCGTAAAAAAAAAAAACCATTCAAAAGTGATTACGATTGTTCATGTGTCATTGTGCATTACACTAGTGCGTGTGTGAGAGCACGCGAGCGGCAAATCGAACCAAAGTGAATTATGACAAATTTAAGAATGTAACGACGTGAAAACGCACACTCAGCACTGTAGCATGTACTACGCACTCTATCTTTACGGTTCTCGTTCGAGAATTTTCCTCACAGATCGTTAACTCTCGCACGGGGGTTTCCGATTCGCGGCGTCGTAGAGAATTCAGCTCTCGCCGAACCACAGCACTACGCTCGTCGAGCTTTGGTTTTTCTAGTAGCCGCGTGTTTATGGCGTCGAATCGACATTGCGCAGCATCGAGGATCGAGCAGCTGAATATAACTTTATTTCTCACAGGATCCCTCCACCGATCAACCTTTTAAGATGTACAGAGCCGAAGAAACGAGTTGACTCAAAGTCAAAGCCGATCGGGCTCGAACGTGAAAAAAGCCGCGAGAAGAATCGTCGCTGGGAATCGTCGCGATTTCTATTGTTTGAAGAGTCGATGTCGAATCGCGCGGCTCACTTGACACTGACAATGCAATTTCTTTTTCGCGATCGGTACTCTGCACATGTATACGCGAGTGTTGGGTCTACGTCGTTGACAGGGGGATATATTTACAATCACGTAATCGCGACTCTGGAGCTCTTATACGTATACATATAATACGAAGGATATATATATCGGCGAGCCGACTGGCTCCGGCGAATGATGCAATCCACATAATCGGTCGATTTCACTCTTTCTCGCATTTCTGCATGCTTTTCCATAGGTGTGCGGCTGCATACGCGTATATTATAAGCTGCGCATCAGCGGCGGGGCATGCGTCGACTTCTCGCTCGTGCGCATCGCCACCGCTGCAGCATCTTTCGCTCTCTTAATTAGCGATGTTCGCGCGAGGAATTTCGTGCGCACCGCTAAGAACGAAAATCCTGTTCCTCGAGTCCCGCCGCGTCCGAGATGTATATTGCTCGTGAGCGTATGTATGTAGGGTACCTGACAAATCGCGCGCGTATATATACCTGTTTGTAAACATGCAGCGGGAGAAATTTTTTTCCTGGTTCAGGCCGACGAAGCGTTTATAAATACGCATCGGAGTCGCCGATAATACCGTGCCGGTACACGACCGTAAGTCTCGCCATTTGGGATGTAATATCGAAAAAGAGGCGAGTTTTGAGTTGGATGAAAGAATTCACAAGGTGTCGGCTGCGTATATGGTAGGAGCCGAGAGTAAGATATTCAATTTGGTGGATTTGGCACAGAAACGAGTCGCGATCTTTGCCTACGGAGCTTGTCGTATATATATATCGACGTGTTGCAATCATCTCTCTTTATTCGCAAAGAGAAAGTACCGATTCGGTGATATGTGTGGCCGTGCGCATATACATGCTGCGAACAGCATGCCCGATCGCATAGTTTAATTTCTCAATACATGTCCGCTTTTTGCAATAGACATTTTTCTTAAATACGAAAAGGATATAAATATGAGAGAGCGCGTGGCGCTGGCGTTGCTGGGGGCAGTGGATCGTGAGATAACTCGACGCACTGCCTTTTAATACGCGCCTGCATAATACACATGCCCGCTTACATATGACAGGACTGCTGCTCTATATTCGTCGTATCCAAGCCGAGTGCTCCACGGCGCTTCAAATGCTCTCTTATATAGACGTGAATCGGCCGACGATCGTTAACTCATCATAGATTAACTTTAATCCGAAAAAGTATGTATTCTGCGCTCATCGTTGAAGATCTGGCCCTGCAAGTGCGGTTGCGGTACACGAATATTCCGTACGAGCTAATGGATTTGAATTTGCTTTTATAAAAAGCGGCCGATTCAAATGAATCGCTTTAATCAATATTTACATTGGCATCGAGCGTTTGGCGTCTTTTTTCGCAAACTTCAATTTTCCTCCGCACAAAGTTATATGGCCTTTAACTCGCGGACGCGTTTCTTCCTGGAACCTGGTATAAAAAAAGGAGCTAATAGCAAGATCCATTTGCAGGGAAAAAAAGCCATTCGTGTAGATGGAACTTTGATAAAGTTACAGCTTGAGCTGAAGAAGAAGTTTTCAAAGAGTTTATGTAGCTATCGCTGCCGATTTAAAGATCCATAAGCGATCTCGCGCGCGACAGGGACGTGCTGTTAATGCTAAAAATTCCTTTTTCGATCTTTCCAGACAGCAGCATTCAAAAGTCGAACGTGTGCAAAAAATCAAGTGCGAGGGTCGCGCGTGCTTTAAAAACTGCCTATTTGAGTCGGACATTTTTGTCAATAAAAATGTTAATCCGCGCATAGATCGAGGAAAGACGAGTCACGGTTACGCGTGCAACATTGTATCGGGCAGTAGTTAGTGTAAAAGCGCGACGGGACGAGACTCGGCGAATGCGTCAACTACTCGAACCTGACTCTCTGTCTCTGAACGCCATACAAGCAATATTGCGTGTGCAGAAGCCTATGCATGTATGTTCGCACGGGTGGTAGGGTAGTACAACAGTCAGTGACGCAGACCGTATACCCGTGTCGCTGGTGGTGGTGGTGCTGCTGCTGCTACTGCCTATAGTGTCTAGTGCTGCTGCTGGCGATGTTTTACCTACCCGTCTCTCTATATATGTGCCACCGCCGCCTGTCTCACATAATCATAATAGTCTGTTCGTGTGCGTGCGTGTGTGTGTGTGTGTGTGTGTGTGTGTGTGTGTGTGAGTTGTACACGAGTGTAGGAACGTATACTCTGGTAGTAGTGGCGGTAACGCAAAATCGCGGGCGGCAATATATAGTACTGAAGGCGGCTTCATAGGCGGTGACCGTCAGTAGAGCGCGAACCGCCGGAAGACTCGGTCGAGCCGTTCACTGGGCCTTCTTGTAGCGTCGTGCAGTGGTGCGCCTCTTTATCTCTCTCTCTCTCTCTCCCTCTGTCTCTCACTCCATATCAATTTTGTCGGAGCGCAAGTGATTACGGACGGGGTTTATTTATCGTCACGGCTGGTCGAATCATCGCTCAGTCTGCACGCGACCGAGCAGCAAGTCGGACGCTGCTAAAGCCGAGCGAGTCGGACTACTCACAGTGCCACTACAGCCACAGAAGCTTATCTCTGTGGTCACGCCCGCTCGCGATTGTATACACACGAACGAGAGGAGACGAGTTCAGCATTTGCCAAGTTCTCTGACGCTGCCACCGCCGCCGGTCACCGGCTTTCTTCGCGCCTCGCGTTCCGAGTCTCTCGTTGTACGCTACGTAAAGCTTGAAGCTATCGTCGCTGTTAACGCTGCCGCCTGTACTCACAACTGCAGCTTTACAATACCTATATACTTGTACCTATACGTGTATATTTACAACGGCTTGTATAACAGTTATTGTGTGCGTGCTACGAGTAGTCCATAGCAGACGACGCCTGACACTCCTTTGGCCGTTGTTTTTCTCGCCAATTTGCGTGCTGTTGCATCCTATACAGCTTTATTAATCTTGAGAAAAGCCATTCGATGCCAGTTTCAGCTTCGTTTGCCAGAGCTTCTTGAAGAGGAATCCTTTACGTACAAACGGAATTACGATCCGACAAGATACTCGCTCGATCGGTGACTCTTTGTATAGATGCAAAAGCACAGCTAACACTGGTGGAGCATCGTTCTTTCCTCGATATAAACTACGATTAATTCAACTGGAATATAACGTTTCATCGTCGACCAACTGCAAGCAGGTGCGTTTACATTTTTAAACATTATTATTTCTCTCTTTTTTGCACTATTAACACGGTGGTTTTTCTTTCATCGATGCGATAAGCCGAATAGCGGCCGTATCGAACCGTTAGCAATGCGAATTATATCACCGATGAATCATTATTCATTATTCAAACGCGCCGTGGATGTATGTGTGCGCGTGACTCCCTGTGTGCTTGATGTGCGTAAGGCTGCTCTGATCTAGCTATCTATCTCTCTCTCTCTCTCTCTCTCTCTCTCTGCCTATAAACCTGGCATGTTTCTCGCGCTGCTACACATAAAAGTCTGCGCGTTTTCTGTATAATAGTGAGGTTATGTGACAGATAAGCAACTAGACAGAGACGAAGAGCAACGAGGGGTTACGGAAATATCGAGCGTCTCCTACAAGGACTCGCCGTAGGATAATAGAGGTTAGAAAATCACGCGCGTTTGCTGCTATTACTGCTGCTTAGTTCCTTTTCAGTCGTCAGTCTCGCGTTGCTTTTACGCACACCGAGCACGCCAGCAATCGTATAAACGTTTCGCGCGATCAAATAGCTTCCTCGACTCGTGTTTTGTCTCGGGCTTTTAATTCACGCTTTCGTGTGTCTGGACGTGTATGTTGTGTAGTCATTTAAAACGACAGAATCAATCGACTCTCCTTACGTATTAAATCTTCCGCGAGAGTGTAGGATATATGTACACACATCATCGAATCATCAGAGGCAACGTACACACTGGTATGTGCTTGCGGGGCAAGAATTTCGTGCGAAGAGAGAAAAATGTGTATAAAGAAGGATAAAAATAGACTCGACGAGTCACGATCCCCTTTGCTTTGTGTATTGTATACGTATGTGTGCATACGGGAAAAATATATCGAACGGTCTACGTCAAGTTTAACGCGCTGCCGGCGCTAATATTCGTAAACATTTTTCACGAGTCGTGCCTTGTGCCGGGGCAGCTACGAGTAGTGCAGAACTTTGCGTGGCGGATATGCCGCGAAGCGAGGAAACGCCCGCACCATCGGGGATCGTAATATACAAGCGTATATATAATAACAGATTTATCGGGCACGAGACATTGCCTCGACGTTGTCGTCGTTTATAGATAATTTGCCCTGAAAAATGAATTCACGTTGTTTGCCACTGCTGCGAGTGCCATCAGTATATAATAAAAACTCGTGCTCAGCTTTTGCTCTTGCTTGCATACTACACCCTCGTTAAAATTTAGTGCCGGCCTCTCGAGCGTACTATATCGTATAACTTCCTTGAAAACCATACATTTGATTTAATTAACTTTTCTTCGCCGTGCCTTTACGAAATTGGCAGACTTTTGTCCAGCATTTGGCGGAAAAATTGCTTGTTTTGTTTGTGCAAATAATATTGCGTTTCGTGTGTCAGTGAGAAAGAGTCTTTAAACGCCTCAATGTAAAGTACGGCTCGAATTGATCAACACGCGTATTATCATCAGATTGCAGAACTTGACGATATAAATCATTTGAATCAATGTTGAAAATAAGACAATTTTAGCTAGATAATGTGCAAATTTTGAGGTTATACGAGTCTACGTAGATATGGTTTACAGAAGCACCAGCGACTCGCTCGTGCGGATAGTAACAGCAAAATTTGACACAAGAGCTTTGCGAATTTTTTTAATTCGTGCCAAGTACTTATAATCGGCGACCAAGAGTATCGGAGGAATCGCCATAGATAAGACGATAAAACCAATTGAAATCGCGTTAAAACGAATATTGTCTCTCGGTAAACAGTTTTTCTTTTACTCACTCGGAGGGAGGGTGTTAGTACGTGTTCACCATACACACACGAAAAAAACACGTCGTCGTTGGAACTACACAAATTTACGTTAAGTCATAACCGGTACGAAGAGTCTAGATTAGTCCGCGAGTACAGGTTGCACTGCGCCTCGACGTGCTGCGCGCCAAGAACTTCCGCTTCCCAACGGCCGCTCTTGCATGTGCAAGAACACAAGTGCAGCCTACGACACTTTCACCGTTGATTATTAGAGAGCGCCCGCGTGTATAAGAGCCTTACGAGCCGAGCGGACAATTACACACTTGCTTACTTATTACAAATAACGTTTAAGCGGTTACCGACACATTTTGACCTACTATAAGCATCTTTGCCTAGCTGTGTTCCATTGTGCCGATTTCGGTAAGCAAAAAAAGCCACACGTGTGTGTCCAATATATACTCTAAATTTGACATTAAATCGATATAATTTTTATAAGAGTGTTTGATCGATCAAATTTTTCAACGAGAGGTGTACTTATAATAATATCTCTAACGATGTAATCTACGAAGAGTCGTGATCGGATAAGCTCATCGAGTGTATGTGTATGTTGCGAGCTTAAAAATCTCACAAATTAACGATTGACATCGCTTTCATCATTGACTTTTAATTCACAAATGTGTCAATGATCTAGAATAAAAAAGCGCGTATATTTTTACCGGTATCCGTTACTTTCCTTTTTTCTGCGATTATGAAACGAAACATCGATACCTACCATTTCGCGCGGATCATCAAACTCTGCGAGACACACCTTCTTTAAATAACTCTACTCGTTCGGATATTTCACACAAACCAGTACAAATAGTTCTTGCTTTTGATACGAAAATAATAACTATTAGCAATTTACCTCTGCCTGATAAGAAACTCTATATTTGTCAATTTCATATCATTTTTTCTCTTGCAAGTAAATTATGATGTCACTATTCCTACATTTGCGTACATTTACCTGAATTTTGTCCGCCTAAATTTTACGCTCCACTTTTATCGATAAGCTTTTTGCGTTGACAAAATGATTGCCAAATATAGATAATATTAATTGGAACGTCTGTGCACAAGAACTACTCTGCTTAGGCGTACCTTGTTACAAGTGCGATAAAGTGATTATTATTATTATTCATTTTTTATCATAAAAAAAAATTGAAAAATTTTGCCGTGATCGGATCTACAGTTTACCAACATGTATACACGGAACAGTAGCTAGTCGCAGACGGTAGTCAACTCTGTACTTTATTTTTAACCTACTCGCCGATAATCTTCAACGCGTTCAAGCGTAAAAAAAGAAAGCGAAGAAGCGTAATCAATATATATACATCTCACACAAGCGGCTGCTTGTGTATATATCTATATTAGATATAAGCACTTACACCCCCAAGCGGTTAGAAGCAAGCTTATATTCACACACCCTGGAAGAAAGAGTCAAAGAAAGCATCCCCTATGTGATGGGCATTCGATAAAAAGAATGACATGAAAACGGATTAATGAACTTCAGGAAGGTCGTGAGGAAATTATTACAACCTAGCTAAAGCTCGAATATTTTTTTTTATATGACCACCTTCGTTGATACATTTACTTTCTCATCTTAGACCATTTCATTCATTATCGACTTTGATGGATGCACTTGATTCCCTACGTGCTCATATATGTGGCATGCTTTTTTGTGGCATAAGTTGCACTTATGGACACCGCGTCATCCCCGTAACACTCGCTGCGTTCGTGGGCATACTTCACTTCACTAAACCAGAAAATACAACTTATACCTCATAAAAGGGGGCATAAATGTGAACTTAGCACAATGCTGTAAAGTCGCGTACGACACTTGTGTCATGAAAGACTTGCATCGTAAATCACTAGTATTGAAAATGAAGTAAATATATTATTCCAATAACGGCTTATCTTCTCATCAATAAAAATACATCTAATATAGCTAAAAGTTGTAATATCAATCAATTAAACAAAATATAAATATTAATGGGGAACGGTGAATCAGTTATTGTGATATCGCGGTGTATTCAAGTGCAAAAAGTCTAAATGGTCGTTATTAAAAGTTGATTTGGTAAAAACATGGAAAAAATTCGCATCGAAACTACTGCACACGAATATGCTTAATGTATTTGCATCTGCATACACATACTATAAATCGTTCAATTCTGCATCAACTCAAAACTTGTATCTAGCTTTGTTGGGGCTGTCCTTGTGTTGAAGTAAGCAGGGATAATAATATTAGAATGCGGGATAGTATAGCTGGAGCCCTTACTTCGATATGTTTATATTTGTAGACTTAAACGACTTATGAAGTTTATACATTCACAACGTGTCAACGCAATTCGGTCTAATTTACTTTGTGTATTTTTTGTCCTGAAAGATAATTTAAGCCAATGTTTGATGAACATTAATAGCTTAATTAGTTATCATTTGTTTCAATGATTTCTACTTTTATTAATTTAGAGTGTGTGTCGGCACGTAAGCTTCGAAGTAGCTATAAAAAAAGATGAAATCTAAGTAAAAATGTCCATTTTGTAATCTCAGTAAACTAATGTCTTTGGTACACATGAAAATCATTTACATGTCAAATCCAATGAAGTAGTATATGAAGTAAAAGTAAAAGCCATATATACTAAAGCACTGAATCAATTCTTCAGATGCCCTCTACTTTATAGAAAAAGAGTAATTTCACGCCAGTTGGTAATAGTGAACATTTTTCACCTCATGGAAATCGTAAGAATTATACTTCACATTGTAATACAAAAGAATAATTTTGAAGATTTTAGGCATAATATGAAGAGGGTAAAATGTTGCGTAGTTTGAACAATTTAGTGAGCTTATTGTATTTTTGGAATTTAAATCCATAGCCAAATTCTATAAAAACCTTTTAGGGAATATACTACAGTTTAAAAATATTGTCTTATTGATGATTATATGACCAAACGTTTACTGCTATTTGATTTTACGGAAATCATACTTTGTTTTGATTTTAATTTCAATCAATTATTTTTCAATTTCATTTCGTAGTAAGATTGACATTTAAATGTGAGGGTGGCAATTTTGTCGTTGCATACTGTGCATGCAGACACAAAGCTTGAACGATCCTTTCGTAAAAGGCTTTAATTTTTTCAACATTGTATAGCTGTTGCGACTATAGCTAGAGCTCTTACATTAAAAGGTGAAGAAGATGCGATGATGTAGGTTGCCGTGCTGTGCGATTTTTTTTCCAAGGCAATATGCCGAGAAAAAAAACTGATTCAGCTGCTGTAGCTGATGTTACATTTGAAGTGAAAATAGGGCGCGGTATGACCTTTTGTTTCTTGTGCACATGAGTCTTTGACCGCTCGTTTATGTATGTCAGTGGAAACCCTTTTTTATATATTCTGTATAACTGTTTTTTGAATTATAAAAATAAGTTTAAATAAATAAACTGTTCAAGCAGTTTTAAATTTTATAGGTCTATTCGATTAATGACAATTATCATCGCAGCAACAATCTATTATAAGATTGTTGAAAAAATTATTTATGTTTTTCATATAAAAAATCGAGGCCTACTGCAAAGTACCTAAAAAAATTTTTTATCTCATAATATGAATGAATCTCCAAGGTTTTTTATACTGCATTTTTATAACCACTTATTTCCTTGAGATCAACTAATTGTATGAGTAATACGAAAAGTATATGCCAAAACATAAAAAATTGATATTAATACTCCTAGTTGGAAAAAAACGAGAAAAATAATCTTTGTTTTTAAGCTTTTATAATTATTTGATTTACTTATTCATAGTTACGTTACCTTAATTTTTTTTATGTCTAATGATGTATAATTCATCATGTGAATTGATAAAAAGTTGTATATTCAAAGTAATGATTTAATAAATTACTAGTATCATAAAAAATGGTATTAATTTAAAGTTTTCTGGTATAGAAAATTACGTTCTCACAATAAACTCAAGCGATGTTTATAATAAATCAAACTAATTTGGTTTATCTTTACTTCTATTGAAAGTGGATTATTTTTGCTTATCTTATCAAAATTACATAAATCTTTATTGTTCTGAGAGTCCGAGTAATTAGCAAAGCGTTTTTAGGTACTTCGAATGAAGTGCAAAAGTTCTCCCTGTTTATGTGGTTTGATTTTATCAAAACTCACAGTTTTAATTGGAAAAAATGTTTGATTGCTTTTTATTGAATTTGAAGTAATTTCTCTTGTTGATGATGCAGTGACTATTTTTATATTTTATTTAGATGAATAGTATGAATAAATAGTTAATTCAGTTTTAATATATCGTATTATTTATTTGATCAAAAAAGTTTTATGCTATTGGGAAGTGTCACGATGAATAGATTAGTGAATTTCATCACTTCCAAAAAAATTATAATTCATAATTTCGTGATCATCAGTAATATAGGTGGTCGAACCTTTATAGGTCAAATAAACTCAAATTAACTCACAGACAATAAAATCACAATAAAATCAAATAAACTCGGAGTAAATAATTGAGCTATTCAAAGCGATGGTATCATAGCCTCCCCAATTTATGATTTATGAGTAATTCATTGATTGAATATATTAATACAATATAATTTTGAATTAAAAAAAAAGATTTTCTCTCGTGACATAAATAATATTCATAGTTTTTCTTAAGAATAGTGCTAAATATAATCGAGCTTACTTTGCGATTCATTATCACTCTATCTCGAATGATAAAAAAGAGCCTAAAGGCACTGTGATACCCATCTTTGTCCCAAAGCAGTAGACATACTATGGGATAAAAAACAAGATAGTTTGGTGCCAGGCGTGAAAGAAAACATTCTTGACGCTAATTATCCTCAACATCTGCTGCCAAGTAGCTTTGGAGCAGGACCAAACTCCCTTTTTTGCCATTTCAAACGAGATTAACTAGTTTTAGCGTGACAAGAAAAAAAATTAAATCGTCTCTATTGCACAAATATTACAATTGAGTTAGGGAGTTAATTTTACAATTGCAAAATTAGAAAACAAATGATTCTCTTAAATAGAGATAGTAAATAAAAATTTACGAAAGCGGTATATGAACTCAACCTACTTGTTCAAATAATTAAACGTCAAGTTTACTCGTATTATTTGTTAGATCTCAATTTAATTGCAATATTACTTAGCCTTAAATATTTAATTTTAAATCATTATAGTATATTCTATGATATATAGAAAATATTAACAACTTTCTACACATATTGTATACGTAATTCTTGCCAAAACCGATGACGTTTACGTAAACAATTAGCAGACGTAACTTTCGGATTTCACATTACTTAATACTAATATTGTTTTTTTCGCCACCATATAATGGTCATTTAACAATGCCACTACGAAGCACACACTTTGTGCATAAACGCAAAATACTTCAACCCAAAAATAATCGATGACGCTGATGTATTACAATTTTTTGTTTGTTTCAGAAATAATTCAAAATGCCAGACGCATTTACGAACTTGGTTAACGGCTACAAGGATATGATGTCGAATCAGTCCGGTAAGTTTTTATTGTTGCTTCTTTCGAATTATAAAAATCATCGATGCATCAATTTATTTTCCTAACCCAAATTTCTTCCACGTTTATTTTCGACTTTCACGAAAAAAAAAAATATCAGTAGAGTGTTTTATTGCGTTGACGGAATTTCTGTACTTGTTATTGAGTTTAAATCATGTTATATATACGCGCGGTGCTCATACATATGAATTCTGGCATTTGAACAAACGAGGGAAAGAGTTTCACGTGCTCCAGCATGTACTTTGGTGATTATTGCATTTGCTTTTCGTGCGCGCCCCTGGTCGTATGTATCGGAGCTAGAACCGGGGTGTTTTTATTTTATTTTTCTCTCTTGGCTGCCTACTGATGCATGTACCATTTCTCAGTACCGCGTCTCGACCCTTTCAGCAAACGCACATCGCATTATTCAAATCGAAACTACTGCATACATCGGGCATCTATTTTGCTAATTGTTTGGCCAGCAATGTACAAGTTTGATATCTTAATGGAATGTATAAAAATTATATAATATCATCGATCCATTAACGACTATTAGATTCCAAACTCAAGACACATCGATTATATAGGACTCAAACCCTCGCTGACTAACTTCAAATAGCCGATGTTCAATGAACCTGAAGTTTCCTCCGTCGAACTTCGACGAAACGTTCCAAAAAATTGTTTTTTTATTTAAATTTTATAATCGTGATCTACTGTCATATTTAGTTTGGAGGGTTAATTGTAACCAAATATGGCAGTAGATTACGATTATAATATAAAAAAACAATTTTTTGGAACTTTTCGTCGAAGTTTGACGAAGGAAACTTCAGGTTCATGATATTCATCTCATACGTATCCACTCTCCCAAGACCACCATCTAATCGAGTCAATCAAGGTGAATCGTTGATATCGTTATTAAAATGTATACACATCGCGCACATGAAGCTCTGGCACATGTACATGAATATGTATGGCACGTGTATGTATGCAGTACGTATGTGTATACATGTCGGTGTGTATCGAATCGGCGCGTGTGAAAGTAGCTCGTCGACACGGTCAGCACTTTAAATTGCGACATATGGGTAAAATGCTCACGCACGCACTCGCGTAACACTTTTTATTTTACACACTTCTCATATTCGATACGCTCGCGCGGGCGCTTCATTTGCTATTTTTATATACATTTTTCAACCTCCTCTTTAAATTATTTATGAATTGCATTATGGGCTTACAATGATAATCTAGACAGAAATAAGTTGATTCATCGCCGAACTCGTCTAGACAGGCTTTGAGAGAGCCTGCACGTGGCCTACCGACGGGTCTTATTAAAAAAATTAAACTTCGGCCACAAGAGCTTTGATGTGGTCAAATGTATAGTCAATAATGCGCTCTTTCGTCATACCAGAGACACTTTTTTCTTGCCGTAAATATATATCAAAGCTCGCCTTCTGTCGTATTCGATATTCAAAATAAAAATAAATTTCCAAAGGCTATTACTTATAGTGTCGTGCATTGCGCAAAATCATTTGTAGTAGATGAACCAAAAGAGCAGCACAGCTCTGTAATGAAAAATCTTGGCAACAGCAAAACAAAAAACTCAAGTGCAATAGCAATGTTTGACCATGGTCTCTGCGTGATTTTTCGTTTCTCTTATCGTCGAAAAAGTTAACTCCCGCCTCTATTTACCGCGAATGCAGCGATTAAATTCTCCGGTCGGACAGTCCAACAGTTTCTTAACTTCAAGTTTCGGAAGGTTAAAATAAAAAATTACAATTTTTCATGTAAACAAATTTTTAATAAGTTTTAGAAGAAAGAGTTTTTTTATCACAAACCTTTTTCTCTCATAACTAATTTATTGACACGTGATATAGACTTTTATCGTTTTCTCAATGTAACTATTCATTCACCATGATATCCCACTTTTTAAAGCACATCTATTGATCAGATCATCTAATTATTGCTTATAATATTTCTAACAAAAAGTCATATTTAGTACATACATGAATACGATGAATTGGCATTTACGAGGATCATCGTGGTTATACTATTTTCAGACTTCCTTTAAAACCTTTTGAATGTTCACTTTTATTGACATATTTCCATTAAAACTTTTAACAATTTAATCTTATACCAATTGTTTTGAATCGCAACTTTATAAAATATTTTATAGGTCTACATTCAAAAGTCATTTCTTATTCTCTTGTATGTCATTGTGTGAGATTATTTCTAACGTTTACAAAGTTGAAACTCGTCTTGGAAACTTTATTTGCCGTTCGTATGGTCGAGATCGACCACTGAAAAATTAAAGGTCATTGTATTATATCGGTGTATCGGAGTAATATTTTTTTCGGTTAGCCAGACGAGCTGTGATAGAGTATACGGTTGACTACATTCGCCTATTGTTGGCAGTGTAGAATTTCCAATTATGGACCATTGTATTTGCAACCCCAAAAAAGACTTTTTTTTTATCGTCGCGTCGTGAAGTGGAAATTCCTCAATCAAAATGTCATACTCTGAACTAGGGTTTATTATTTTTCTGATTGACTTTTATAGATCCTAGAGTAAAGGATTGGGCAATGATGAGCAGCCCATTTCCGACTGTAGCGATCTGCTTGGGCTACGCCTACTTCAGCAAAGTACTAGGGCCAAAATTAATGGAAAACAGAAAACCCTTCAACCTGAGGCGTATTCTCATCTTTTACAATCTTGCGCAGACCATCTTCTCGACGTGGATATTCTATGAGGTAAGATTCATTATATTCAGTAATGCCGTGTTTATACTGCAAATGTATGTTATTTGTACCCGTGCATAATAATAATGTCAAATAATGTCATTAAGTTACACGTACACATGATAGTGGCTCGTACAAAGAGGCTGAATGTAATGCAAAGCTAGATATCTGGTATTTTTCAAGAGACGGATGTGAAAGTAAGTTTTTATGTATTACGGAGATTGCGCCCGGCGCTTATGTAAAGGATCTTACGCGGACTATGCGTCGGCCAATCGCGATCGAAGACGAGCCTCCTCTCGCGTGTAAACAAATTGATTGTCGAGTCATGAGTTTCTGCGCCATTGTATATTCTGAGACATTTTTGGCCAGCCCCGCGCGTACATGCCACCAACGCGTATAAAATTGACGAGCTCGGTCAAAGCGCCTCATGTGTGACCCCGCAATATCGAATCGAGCTCCTCGAGACCATATGCACGTCTATATACGATATATCGATTTCATTTTGCCGAACTAGGCGCACATGTGTATATTATATGTGCTTGTTTGATACAAAAAAATTGGCATCGCGTGAGTTTCTGGCCCATTCGTCGATACAAACCATCGCACAAGACGAAATATAGCACACAAACACACACACACACACACACATATGTATCTATATGACTCTTAGGTGCTTGTGTACATGCATGTATATAAATAAAAGTGCATCGGTCGGACCGGTGGTGTATTATGTACAGGTGTCGCGAGTCGAATACCGTAATTCGAAGCTCCACGCAAGAGGCTTTACACATATGCTGCGATACATCGTTGCCTTTACTTTTTTGCTCCGTCTTACATGCCTAGGCTCGCGCTTGTACTTCATGCCCGTTATTCGTTTCGCGTTCATGTGTGCGATCTTTGTTTATTGTGTCTGTTGAAGCTTGCATTCCCCTAAATTCACGTCTGTAAGATACGCAGTATCGACTTTTTTTCTGTGTTTTCTGCATTGTCAAGAAAAACAAATGCTATCGCGAACACTGGGAGTTTTCAGCTCGATTAGTATTTCACTGTTTGATGATTTTCAATGTCGTTAATTTTTTCCTCCTTTTTTTCATCTCCAAAGAAGAATATCCACTCGTTCACTACCACTTGCTATGAGAGTTCGAGCTGCTGTGCTTGCGTAATCGTTTGCACATGCACGCGTGAATATGCATTCTCTCACGTCGGCGGCGATAAATTTTTTCAATTTCCAATCGCCAAACTATACATCTATGCGTGTGCATTAGTTCGTGCATTGAAAAGTTCTTTTTTAACCAACCACGAAATTCATCGATCTCGTTACAGTTGTCAGTTCGTCAAATAAATAGAATAAAATCGTATTTGCGCCAAATTGTATATGTACATATTCAAACACATAGTAGAGCGGTGAAAGTTACACGCAACTGAAATGCGATTATCATCCGCATTTGGCATTGCAATGCCAAGTATTGTGTCACGTATACACGCAGTGCATAGTGCGAGCAAGACTTGGCATAAATTTAATTTAGACACAGATAATCTTTTTGATTAAAAAATAGGCAGAAACATCTCTTTGAACTTATTATCAAGTAAATTAAAAGATGAAAAAATCGTTGTTATCAACTCTGTTAATTTTTCTGTATGAACTTTAAAACGTTTATGCAACGTTGATGAATCGTTTTTCAAATCATTCTTTGTTTTTTTGAAATTTTAAATTGCCTATGAGATGAGTGTCTGGAAACTACGACGTTTCGTTCATTGATTCTCAATCGTATATGATTTTCGTTGATAATTGACCGATAATTCGAGCCTCGCTCTGCTCACATACTTCAAGCTTGTGTCGATGCATCGTGTTGGTGTATACAACATACGTCCATATGTATGCATGTGTATCGGGCATTCAGTCGTGGAATGCCGGCGCATTCGGCGCGCGATTAGTATTTCGTCGGCACATCAGCGGTATATATAACACATACACTCACACATATACATCTACCGAAGACGCGAGTATAAGAGAGCAAGCTTGAACTGCCTTGATTGAGGTCGTTCTCACTTTTCAGCCGGCTCTCCATTTGAACATTCGAATTCGCTTCCGCGAGCTTGTATATGCTTAGAATTTAGCAACTATGGTAGTGTGCAGTATTATTGGAAATGTGATTTTTTATGCTTATTTTTTTCTATAAATATCTCGAGCAATCGAAAATTCAAAATTCGGAGAGACAATATTTTATCTGTGCATGCGAGCAATAGCAGCGACGCAGTAAATAACTTCATTCGTTCAACGTAGTGCCCGTTAGAGGTATAGTGTATATTGTAACGAGCGCCACTTGTTAAAAAATGCACGATGTGTAAAGACCGCCCAAGAAGTGCATTACCGTCGATACGCAATGAGCAAGTATTTACACGCGAATGACGTATATAAATGAAAGTTTCGCGAAAAATCCCAAGCGCCAAGACTAATCATTTATTTATTTTTTTCTTTAAAAAGCAATAGCGATGAGTTTATGAAGCGTTTTAGAAGTAATGCGCATGCAAAGTACGAATACGTTTTTTTGCATTTTTCTATTACAATATGCATGATTTTATGAGAAACAAATTGTAGAAATTACATTTGCCTCGATACGTATACGTTCGAAAAATTTAAATCGAGTTTCACACTTGGTGAATTAGAATATTTTCAGAGGTATATCGGACAATTTAGCAAAGCTTTGTTCAGTCACTTATTTCAAGTTTCAATTCTAAGCCAAATTCAATTCATTGGCTTGCGAACAATTAGTATCTATAGTTGACATATAGTTTGCTTGCATTGTATTCCTAAAATGTGGATCAAATAGTCCTTTGTTAAGTGCGCGTTTACTTTTGGTTAGTTAAATAAGCTCGGAATAAAAATAGAAAAATAATAATAATAACCATCCATCATAATAATTCTCATGCCTATTGGTTAGACGAAATGAGCGCTTTCATATACAATGGAAGTTGATTCTCCAAAGTCAACTAATTTCCCAAATTACCAAAGGGATTTGCTGGCATATACACACACGCTAATGTACATATATATTGCGGTGGCAAGTCATGTCGTTACATTTCAGTGACCACGTTATCTTTGGAATTAGTTGAGTTTCATACATTTTCAGCTCGATGTACAGAGAGTCGTGCATTTATAGCAGCGGAAAAGTAGAGACGTCTCTCGAGATAATTTTTTTACCCGTGACTTGAATATACGGGGAGACATAAACGACGTTCGTTTATATGCGCTCTTAAATACTATTATTCCTTATCGTGTGAAACGTAAAACTTTTTCCAATATTTTTCTTCGGGTTACTTGCTCACGCTCTTGTATTCTACACTGCTTTTACAAGTATCGAACGTATAAAGATAATTCGTTCGATGCTCCGTCTTTAGAGTTTTAGTGCTTATTTATTTATTTACCTCGGAGTTTGCCGATACAAGTTTAGCTTCGAATCGGCTTATGTCATGCGCGATTAATATGACTTTTAATCCACATTGTTGCTTTGATTTCATTTCATCTTTAGCGGCTTGCGAAATTCTATAGCCGCCTCTAAGGTTGACCGTAACCTTCTTTTTATGTATACACACATGCACGCACCTAATACGGTCGCAATCAAGATCGTGACTATTTAAAAATGTTGCATCGCGAAACCCGAGATGTAACATTGACGACTAGGATGAAGGGAGAAAATTAGCGCTCATTCAGGTTGTCCGAGGGTTACGTCATTTGCGCCAGTGTAGGAATCAAGTAATATTCCATTGAAAAAATATATTAAAAAGTGAGAAAACGATGAATAATTTATTTAGCAAATAATTTAAACTTTTTTTGAAAAAAAGGTGAATTCTTATAAGCACGTGCTGCTCGTCTTTGTAAAGGAAATTATGATGGATTTAAATTTAGAGAATAGAGATCATATATAAAACAGGAGGTGATAAAATTTGTTCTTTCTGACTAAATATACACCATTTTTACATACACTGAGAAATTTATATAGGAAAAATTGCTACATTTTTAGGAAAAATTACTACATTTTATAGTAAAAGTGTGACATTTCTGACTTGTGACAAAATTTACTATTTTTATCGTAATTTTTCTTATGTTCCTGATCATTTTTACTATAATTCTAAAAAATGTTGATACAATTTATAGTAAATTTCATCACAAGTGAGAAATGTCACACTTTTACTATAAAATTTTTAATTTTTCCTGTATGAGTTTCTCCGTGTAGATGATATATTTAATATTTCCACTCAATTCTCACTACAAATTACATCATTTCTTATATAATTATTGTAAAAAGTAAAAAAATAGTTTAATCGAAATCTTGATGTTTCTTAATTCGCGTAAATGAACACGAATTTCTCGATCCAGAGTGCCGCTCACGGTGAATTTAAAACTGTTCGCCACGCTAGGTTACGACATTTATATTGTTTTTTATTTTTTTTTTGTAAATATGTACTACAAATTATAAGTAAATTCTTTACGCGAGTGAATCCATTGAAATGTTGATCGATTTGGATTAGTGCTTGTATTCACTTTTGCATCTTTCGACGCTCCAAGAGATGTAGCTTGAAACTAGAACAGGCGAAATGTAAAAGCACACGATCGTGAATATATCGTGTATTATTGTGCGCATGTGTTTGTGTAAATATACTTGAACGGCATAAATTATGATTCAAAACTTTCTTTGTCACCAAGGTGAGTGAGAGCTCAATGGAATGTCATTCGCGATTTATTATGTAGGTACAAAAAAAAACTTTCACGCTGCCTAAAATTCAAAACGACTCTCACTTTGTTTTAATCTGCGTGCAAAAAAAGAGCAAACGAAATTTCAGATATGATAATATACTTTAATTCGTGATGAAATAGTATAAATCATCACCATATCCTGTGGGTTCGCTGGAGATGGCCCAATATGTGTGTATTTTTTTACATTGCTAAAAATTCGTCTAAATTAAGATAAAGATAATTCGTCAGGCTCTCTTCTATACTTCTTTTTACTTTTGAGTATATGAATCAGTCGAGTTTTGTCTTGAGCACGTGCCTACATTTTTAGCCTATACATAGGTGCAAATTTATACCCGATCGGCTACGAATACATATAGTTGTTTTGTGACTCAGAACGGTATCATATATATACACAAAAGTTTGCGTGCAACACGACACATCGTTTCTATGTGCACTCGTGTGCTTTGTAAAAAGGGGTTGTTGGCATGAAGGAGTAGCGCTCTCATATATACGTATGTGTACAAGCTCCACGTGGTGCCTGGCTCATAACGACTATTGCGTGATGCGCGCCAATTTGCACTGATAGGGAAAGAGGTACAAAGACCCACACTCACGCGTTTGCAAACTCTTAGGCTCGTACGCACGAAAATATATAATTTATAACGAGTGTCCATGAGTACGCCTGCGTACGTATATTACATATAGACCGAACAGCTGCGTTCGAGACAAAACTGTATAGCTGGCTAGAAAGAGACGATAGAAAGCCGTTGATAAGATTGCCAAGCTAATACGTACGCGAATACATGAACTCTTTTGCGGACAGCGAGAATAGATAATAAATTTGCGCGACGTATTCTCGTTCGGTTTCTTTTTTACGCTTCTCTCATTTTTCTACTGATCCGTTCGATCTCATATGCTGATAGCCGATTAGATAATGAAATTTTGCAGCTCGAAGAAGCTCGCGTGTACGAACGGATCAGTGGCTTACATGAGTATACTCGGAGCAATATGTACGTACGCGAACCCGTGCAATTAGAATCGTGAATACGTATATATTTGCTCCTACATCATAGTTGCCACGGGTTTTATTGATTCTCGATAACTGCGTGCTGCTGTGCGCTTTATGAACTCAGCCCTTTTTTCTCTACACGCGTACTTGGTATCTTGCGTCGAAGAATAGGATATCCCATGGTTCATTTCAAGCCGCTCGTCACAATTCTGCGCGTATTCATAAAATACTCTGCGCGATTACCTTTAAAGTGATATCGAGAGCGGATCGATTGATATTTACCCTTTTTCTCTTTCGTTAGCTTCATTTACGAGTCATCAACTTGGCAACGTATACGCTCTTAATGCAAAATTTTGGCGCATAATCCGTGACGATACAAGCCATGCGCTTGCGAGTTTGGTGCAGAATACAAAGAATTAGCGACATACGACATTCACGACGATGCAAATGATTTATAAATTTCGACGAAATACCAGCCAAACAGCGTACACCCAAAGACGGTGCGCAGCACTTAGCACCTCGCGCGACCGAGAGCGCGCCAATTTCAATTTTAAATTTCGCGCAAACTTGATGATGAGATATTGAAAAAACACGAGGATAGTGCACAGAGTCGCTTGTGCACTGCAGCATTTTTAAGTGCGCGTTATGTCACGGATGACTTGCTGCTATTGCTCCTACTGTCTTTCTCTCTCTCTCTCTCTCTCTCTCTCTTTCTACTGTCATCGCTATACAGCTCCTTCATGCATAATAATATTTTTAAGGGATTGCAAAGAAAACAATCATCCGACATTTTTATACTTATATATATTTGCGCATCTCAAGAGATGCTCGCGCTTTGTGAAACGTGAGTAGGCGTTTATAATGTGCGAGTGCGCGACTTTGCATTACTTTGACAGCAATAATTCGTCCGAATGGTGAAGTTGTAAATCTTTTCAAAACTAAAAATCATGTGTAAATATGACGTGACGTCGAGTGACATGATATGCAATGCGTGCGAGACGTTATTTTTCGTACGACATTGGCCTACTGAAAGGTGCGCGCGTAATTCAACCATGAATCTTTAATAATTCATTCGTGAAAACTATGACACGAAATGATTTGGCTCATTTGAAATTCAACAACCATCTGCAAATATTTTTCTTTTTTCTTGTATCTGTTTTTTTCTCCATGCATCCAACGGTGCAGTCGGCTCTCCATCACTTTGTTACACATGACGTATTTATTCACAAATGGAAATAAACTGCTGGCATTTCGTAATGTAGACTGCAACCCATATAAGGGATTGATTAAAACACAAGAGTGCCACGGGCAAACAATTGTTCCTTTTGTATTTTCTTCGAAACATCATCGTCGTCGACGTCATCGACATGTCCTCATGGTTCTGGACAAACAAACGATGGAATCACTCTTTCTCTCAAACGTTTCTTTCTTGTAAAAATGGTACATTTTTTCAATTCAATAAACCGATGTGACGCTGAATAACTATTTGCGGTTTCTTCAGGTGTACGCAGAGACAGAGAGGAGAAAATTACCGATGTGTTTTTTTTCTTATGTTGTTTTAATATAAATTGTCTCTGTCAATCGCGAAACCCATTTTTTCACGATGACCATGCAAAAAGCATAAAACTATTTATAATCTGCGATCGAATCTAAAATACACGATATGATCACAAATAAATGGAAGAAAATTGAAAAACTGAAGAAAAATCAAATTAGGTGTTAACGCGATTGAGCAAATTTTCTGATCTTCTAGGGATAATAAAAAAAATAATTCTATGCCGCGCATGACATACACTTTACCATCGATAATAATTGCCGTTTGCGATGCATCTCTGCGGAAATTATTTAAAAAGTTTATGTAGGAGTTGAGCAAATGAGCATATCGTCACATTCCACTCGCGCGAATCGCAGCTCGAACTCTATCTCTCTACATATGCCGGTGTGCAGAATTTTTCCAGAGATTCCTCTTTTAAGAAGCCATAAGTATTCTATGCACGCTCCGGGCGCTTCGCTCTTATATCACCAATGACTCTTTCCTGAATATGGATTAAAACTTTATACCATACACACACAAACTGCGTGCGCAACTAGTTACATACGCTAGTCTCTCGGCGTCTATGCATTACCTAAGAAAACGATGACAGAATATGTATACATTTTTTCTCTTCTTTTCATTGTGCACGCGACAGAAAACGTATAAAACGTCGCTCTTCTGTAAGCGTGTGCCGAACTATGCAATAAAAAGAAAAAGAACAACTTATGATTTTTTGCGCATTATAATTCGTTGATTTTAATTCATTTTTTTTTTTCAGTACTTGATGAGCGGATGGGCGAGAGGTTACAGCTTCAGATGCCAACCTGTCGACTACACAGAGAGCCCATTGGGACTTCGCATGGCCGCTACATGCTGGTGGTACTACTTCAGCAAATTCACAGAGTTCTTTGATACGGTAAGTCGTCGAGTGTCCACCATCTGACCTATTCCATCACTGGTTTGCTCTGGCTTGAATTTTACCGCTAGTTCGTCGACGTTTATAATACAGTTCGAATGCTAACTATCGACTATCGAAACGGTTTTCCTTCTTATTATTTTTTTTTTTCAATTCGTTGCATTTATAGTAGGAATAAACTTAAAAATTGTGTATGGTCGTACAAATGATTTTATAATGTAACAGCTGAAATAATCGACTCTATGGGAGGTATTGCACCTGTTGCTGCGAGTATACACGTATACGCTCCTGTGCTACAGCAGGTTCGTCATCGTCGTCGTTGCAACTTGCCCTGACCGCGAAGCAAACTCGTTGTACCGCGTTTCCTTTTCGTTTTTACTCTGACGAAATATCTAACCTGAATACATATTTTTTCCTTTTCTATGCATTTGTCCACGCGCGTATTCGCTAATCAATTCGACGGTGGCAGCATTTTTGAACTATTTTTTTCAACGCACCTGACTTTTCGAAATATTTGCCCACATTTTGACTTGCACATTTTTATCAGAATTAAAGTGTAACGCTTTAAAACCAATTAAATGTATTGAATTATAGGTAACCGACACTATCTCTTTTTCTCTCTCATTCTCTCTCTCTCTCTCTCTCTCTATTTTTCTCTTTCGTGTGCAATGTAGCGATTTACATATTGAATTAGCTGTAGATCGAACGTGCGAGTACTAGTTATGTCTAATTGTAGACTTGTTATTCAATTTTGCCCCAAAAAGCGTGAAATGGGTTTTTTCAAGCGCGGAAATACTTACGAGAATTTTTTATTCCCAGCAGATCTAAAAGCTTTTTATCGTTCAACTTGACATAAATAATTTTGTTATTTTTAGCTCAATAATAATCAATGAAAAAATTGTAATTTTCCTGAAAAAAAGTAAAATGCCATGTTCATAATTTATCGTTCATTTTTTTAACCGCAACGATTATCATAATCAGGAAGATTTAGTTTTGACTGATTAATTTGCAGCGGTGAATGGGCCAGTCGACGAAAAAAGTCTTGAAATTCGACATTCGACACTTTATAACGGTGAATGTATTTTTGTTCGATAGCTCTTCTTCATTCTGCGAAAAAAGAATCAACACGTGTCGACTTTGCATGTCATCCACCATGGCATCATGCCCTTCTCCGTCTGGATGGGACTGAAGTTTGCCCCGGGTGGTCACTCCACGTTTTTCGCCCTTCTTAACACCTTCGTGCACATCGTGATGTACTTCTATTACATGATCGCAGCCATGGGCCCAGAATACCAAAAGTACATCTGGTGGAAGAAGTACCTCACCACCTTCCAAATGGTAAGCTCGTTAAAACTCCAAGGAAATAATTCAACGAGTCGAATTTGAAGCTATAAATTCGAAGGATAATACTAAAATATGTCTTATTTTCCTCAGGTACAATTCGTAGCCATCATGACTCATCAATTCCAATTGCTCTTCACCGAGTGCGACTATCCACGCACTTTCATGATCTGGATTGGTCTGCACGGTCTCCTTTTCCTAGGTCTCTTCTCGGACTTCTACAAGACCAAATACACCGGAAGCGACAAGAAAAGGAAAGGCGGCTCAGCTGTCACGGCCAACGGCAAAAGCAACAACGGAGCTTGCATGCCCGTGCTCGAGGACGACGAATCGAAGAAGAACGGATTCAACGGCACCTATCCCAAGATCAAGGAGTACAACAGTTGTTACAGCAATGGCGTCAACAACGGTTACGTAGCCAATAATAATTCGAACGAGAAGAAGGTGGCCTAGAAAAAATGTGCGCCGTCGCCGAAGCCATTGCGTCGTTCGCGTTTGTACAAAAAGACGTTTTTAAGAGACGTTGATAAACGTTGATCGTTACACATCAATGATATATTAAATGATTAAAAGAATATAGTGTGCGCAGGTTCAAATGTACGCAATTTTTCGTCTCGTGCCTGCCTACAAGACATACCCGTACGGAACACCTTAATATACAAGCACTGCTTAGGGACCTACAATGTGTGTGCGGTTACCTTTATACATATTATACATATTTATATATATATACTACAATTATATAACTGTTTATAGTTCTTTTTTAAACAAAAAAAAAACATAATTTTTTATATTTAATTCTGCTGACTTTCACTGGGGTTGTTACCTCGTTAGGATTGCGATGGCGATTTTTTTCGCGTCCTCTAGATTAGTCTGGTTTTTTTGTCTTGTTGAATCAATTATATTCGAATGCTCCTTTAGGAGATCGTTGTTGTTAGTCATCACGAATCCGAGGAGATAACCCCACTGAGACTCAACGACGTTGTATCGTTCGTTTCGACGTTTTTCTTCTCTCGATTCACAATCGAAGTGTTAATGGTGAGTGTGGCTTGGCATACTATAATTGAGAAAATCTGTTCTATATGGAATTGACGACATCGAATCGACGGACGACGATCTGTTGATCTGACGATTTGAATCTTTATGGTTAAAGTGGTTTTGATTACAGTTAAATTATGGGTCCTGTACTTGTTATTTAATAGCACTGTAGAATTTCGATGCCGGAAAAGAACTGCTCGAAACGATTGTATCAATCGATTATTTGGACAATTGTGTAAGAGTAACTTCAAATTTCACAATAAATTCAACGGGATAAAATAGTACTATAAAGCTCATTCAAGGGTTGAAATTTTCGGTTATTAGTAAAAAATCGTGAGAAATATGTAAAGACGAAATAATGATACTATCAATGACGCTGTTGAATCAGTGTCCATAAAATTGCGTCTGATCTTAGTAATTGTTAAATCTTTGTAGATCATCGGCATACATTTTTATCAATTATATTTTGATATAAATCTATTTGTGATCAGATATGATTCATTATGAACAAATCTAATCTCAAGCTTCAACATTTCATAGATGTGAGGCATGAACGAACAAAATGTCGTGTTCAACAATATTCTAATATTTACTACTAAGACTATTCTTAAAATTGTGATTAATAATTTTACGATTGTATAAATTCAAAATTAGATTTAATAATAATACCTTAAAGTTTGATATATTGTAATCAAATAGAATCGTTGTAATTAGCGATAGTTGTTAAGTGGGAATCACTCGTCGGTCTGTAGTGAACAACCATAATGAATAATCAAATTTGTATATCTCCTGCATAAACTAGCCACACTCCCATGCATAATGTGCGTCGTATATACTTTTCACAATACTGGCTATACGTATGTACTTTTACGTTCATTCTTGAATTACACTTATTTCTTAATCGGTTTGTAACTGTGAGTGCCTGTGCGAGTGTGTTCTAAATTCGTGCGCCAGTTGAATATATAAATATTATATATTATTATATATTATATCAACTATAAATATATGATACATATTGGTAATATTTGAGTGTCTGCATCTATTAAAATATGCGCGTGCTCTGTAACTCTTAGCTTATTAAGTGATTTATCAGATAAATGTGAGCGATTTTCGCAAATATCAAAGTATTCGCATTGAAGAGAAAAAACGACGATGAGTTAAGAGTTCTGTTTGATTTGTTGTGTTCATATTAAGAAACTGAATTTAAACATAATCATACTTCTGAGAAATAAGTTTATTTTTTTTTATATACGTGAATGCTCTTTCAGCTTTTCCATTTTCCATCATACGTAATAATGCTCTCCCGGATACAACATTTTTTGTAATTTATCGAAGAGTGTATGAAAAAAAATTCCAGAATGTATTGATTTTTTTACAAGTCGCTAAATGTAAAATCTTTAATTTTTTAATTGTTTTCAATATTAATTGAATCGAGAAATAAATCTAGGTTCGAAGACTACTGAAAATTAGATGAATTTTATCAAATCTTTATACATTATTTAATATCTGTAAAAACGACTTTTGTAAGCATAATTGTAATTTAAGTTATTTTTCATAAAGTAGGCAAAATAATAATTTTTTAAATAAAGTTTTTAAATTTATTTATATAATTGACCATGATTGTTGGATTGCTTTTTCAAAGTTTGTTTAACTTGCTTAAAACTCTGAAAATCGACCATTGTTTAAAAGTAATGAATAACATTAAAAAAGATTTTAAATGAAAATCTCAATGGTTTTGAGTAAAAGTAAGAGAGAAGTAACTGCGATCAATAAAAAAGAATACACCATTACGATCATGATAAAAAGAAGCGAAAAATCTTCAGGTGGACCTAGACCATTCATGTATATTATTATCACCATTTATTTTGTCATTAAAAAATAAAGTAAAATCAGTCTTCGTTGTAAATACATTTTCAAGCTGACAATGTCAATTAATGAAAACATTATTGACGGTTCTTTTCATAAATTGATGGTGTACAACAATCTTGATTAATGGACTGAATTTTTGTCAAGCACAAGATAGAAAATATCCATTAAAGTAGCATGTGATAGATTTTATATTAATCTCGTTGTCTATTGAGGAATTGACTTGATATTAGATTTCAAACTCGCTAATGTGTGCATAATATAATGTATAAACGTCATCTTATCAACCACAATCCAAGAGTTTGTGATGTAGCACAAAATTTTTTGTGAATTAGAGAAAAATTCAAGTAAATAGAATTTTATATTAACCAGATCAATTGAATGAAAATCAGTGCGTTTGGCCCTGAGTTCATAAACTAGTTTGAATTTTATTAAAACAGAATGATCATTCATATGTTCGAGCTACTCCAGTTGAAAGTAATGTTTTTGGGTTTGTGAAGAAAATGAAATTTTTACTTTCTGCTTGAGAATTCACAAAAAATACATACACCTTGACCTCTTAAAAAGAAAGCTTCACTTCACATTTTTATCAACCTCAGATGTTAATAAAACGTGTTATAAGACTTTTCTTTTTCATATACCGTTGCAGATGCCGAAATACATTTACATGAACTTTTTAAAAAGAAAAAAATTGATTAATATCTTGCTTGAGTTCTCATCTTTATTTCAAATATACGTACTTTGATGTTACATGCGTTACAAATAATTGCTAGTAACATGTAAATGACCGATGAAATTTAATTAACATTTATAGAGTTTACATTTTACCGAGAAAAATTTAATTTCGGAATGATAACTATAGCCAAGATAAATATAAAAAATATATATATATTTAGTCTTATAAAAAGCTATACAAAAAATATGAATGTTGATAAATAGTAATGACCGATTTTTATTATATTTTTGTACATAATTATCACAAACAAGAAAAATTTTAAGAGCTCCATTCGTGTGAAAAATAAATATATCATATGATGAATAAATTCCCGCCCGCAGTGTAATAATTGTTGCTTTCACACCTAGGCTACATGATTTTCATAAAAATAAATAAATACACTTAATTTATTGAGCTATCTCGAATAGCAACAACAAAAAATGAGAATTAATTGTGAATGGCTGAAAAGCAAATATGAAACAATGTCAATCGCGATGTTACAATAAATCTCTATCTTTCTTTGTAAACGCATCTCCTTTTTATATTATTATATTAACTGTATTTGTATATGTGAAAAGCGCATTTCTTAACAAATCAAAGACTTGTAAATTTTTCCTTGACGACGTTCTTCTAATATATATTGTAAAAATGACGAGAAGAAAGTTATAGCTTTATTGAATGTCAGAAGTAACAATTTTATATATAAGACGTTTAATTCGTTATACATCTTTCAAACGAATAAATAAAATTTAATGAAAAAAAAATTTAACAATAAAATGCTTGGTTTATAATGTATGAAAAGTATTTTTATTTTCCTCTAAAGTTCCCTAGTTCATGTTAACCCATTAACGCGCTAAAGTGCAATTTTGTGCATGAATTTTTCGTTGTAAAAAAATTATAGATAAAGTTAAAATATTTTCTTGAAAATCCATACCCATGGGTTTTTAGGTATGCTCTTTCAGAATCTGGTGTTATTTTTGCGATAAATAAAAATTATCATCGTTTATTTTGCAATTAAAAAAAAAACGTGATTTTTTGACTCAAAATTTTTTTTTCAAAGTCGATTTTCTACCTTGCCCTGCCTTCGGAGGGTTTCCATAACACCAGCAATCGTGCACTTTTTCTCTGAACCTTCAAAAAACGCGCTGCCGCGATTTTAATTTACCCCCTATGTTTCTAAAATGGCGAATTTATACCGAGCAGCAGTATAAAAATTCCCTCATTTTTTACTCGGAAACTATTTTACATGCGCTCAATATCAACTCAAAAGTACGATTTGGAGTGTAAAAACTTATTTGAAATCGTTAAGAGAATGCGTGTGAATTTTTTGAGAATTTTTCAGACCGCTTTGAAAATTTTGCAAAATACGACCATTTCCCGGCCTGGCGAAATAATCCAAAATGTTCCGAAAAAAATTCTGAAAAAATTCACATGTATTCTTTGAACAAATTTGAACACTTTTCATTGCATTTTATTTTTTTTTAATAAAGTCAATAATTTACAAATAAAAAATGAGTGAATTTTTATACCGCTGCTCGGTATAAATTTGCCATTTTAGAAATATAGGGGCTAGATAAAAATCGTGGCAGCGCATTATTTGAAGGTTCAGAGAAAAAATGCACGACCTATGGTGTTATGGGAACCCTCCGAAGGCAGGGCAAGGTAGGAAATCGACTTTGAAAAAAAATTTTAAGTCAAAAAATCACGTTTTTTTTTTAATTGCAAAATAAACGATGATAATTTTTATTTATCGCAAAAATAACACCAGATTCTGAAAGGGCATACCCAAAAACCCCCGGGGATGGATTTTCAAGAAAATATTTTAACTTTGTATATAATTTTTTTACAATGGAAAATTCATGCACAAAATTGCACTTTCGCGCGTTAATGGGTTAAGATACATATATTAGCCAGTGAAATTTGTGCCCCGATGGCCGGTACTATCGTCCAATGAGTAATCGCTATTTGCTAGCATTAAAAACCATATCGATACGGATGATTCATTCGGCAATATTTACTGACAACTCCGGTCGATTCTTTCATTCGGCGATTTCCCAAATTCTTCAAGGACTCGCAATTATCGAAACAAGAAGTAAGAGCAATCGCAAATCTTAAACAAATTTGATTTAGAATTAAAATTTTTTTAAATGAATAAAAGAAGCAACTTTTCGAATCGTATAGTATTACAATCAAAATATCAAGTTTGTAAATTCATTACGATGATTACATTGAATAGCAGCAATTTTTGAAACCACTTAGTAACTTCCGTAAACAGGTATTCAATTAAATTTTTATGCTTGCCACTGGAGATTTTCTTGAATTTATTTTTATCGGATAGCACCAGGAATTGATCGAAATCGTCAAATAAAGTTGAGCAGATTTTCACAAGGTATGGAAAATTTCTAAAATTTCTAGTCAATTTCTTGAAGCAGATGTTTTGAATGATGCAGTACTTGAAAATTTATAGTTAAGTATATAATTCTGTCAATTTAAATAGTATCAGTGTCATAATAAACGCAATCAGGTAGGTCAATAGAACTTAAAAACAATTTCAATGCAGATTTGTGCTCTCAAAGTCCGTCCAAGCGTACCCAAAAATGACTCTGCTGTCGATCGATTAAAGATAACTACTTCAACGAAAAACGTCTGATTTCGTATTGGTGCCCGATTAAACGTATAGAGTAATTTTGATTACACTGTGGTCTATGCAAGGTAAGGTAAGCTGAAAAAACGATTAACTATTTCCATTGAAAATTCGATCGCGGGGTGTGCGCTTGAGCGGGCGAGTGGGGAATTACAGCGATAAACAAAACAACACAGGCTTGCGTACGTACGGCAGAGATTTTCGCTGGTTCACGGTGCGTATGGTAAATCTGTCGTCGTAATTGCAGCTCATATATTATATCTTAAGGAGTCACCTGCACCGCATTCTCCTTTCGTTGCGGAGTATAGTAGTCTACGTCATGTATGCGTTCACGACTGCCGATAATAGTGTACGTGAATGAGCCTCTCGCGCGTTGACGTCACTTTTACACTAATGCACACTTGGCTCTATAATATAATACTTGCAGCTATCGGCGTGTGCGCAAGCGATAGCATTCCGATGACGGCGCGCGTGGTAAATTTTTGCAAGTAATCGTCCCTTACGCCAGTCCCAGGACACACATACACTTATAAATTGTAATAAGAATACGATAAGGATCGTTTTTTCTGCGATATTGTGCACATGTTCAACATTTTTGTTTTCATCTTCGTGGATTTCAGGTAATACGCACGTTCGAGAAATGCGCACGAATGTAGTGGAAGAAACTGGAATACGGATTTTATATTTTTATTTTGATTTTTTTGATAATCCGCTTGAATGATTCATCGTCGGAGCTAAAACGAAGAGCGCGCCAGTAAAGACGTTTTGTGTATTTATCCAAGTCGAATACTTCATTCCAGAAGGTTTATTTTAGTTCCTCGAGAGTAGCTAATTCAAGTCATTTATGTGCTGAAGATTATAATGCAAGTGAGCTTTGTCGGACTATTGACTCGCATGAACTAGGGGTATCTGATTTTTTTTCGAGTCTTTGAATTTTTTTAATTGCTCTGTATTATATATTTTTTAAATATTTATATTTTTTATGTTTGTTTTGATCATCTGGTCTCGATAAAGTGCCATGGTAATGAATACACTATACATTTAATACAATTATCAATATACTCATCAATACGTACAATAAATCAATAGTAACAAATCAATAAATTAAACTTCCTAAGTTTTTCAACTAATCAAGCTTAAAAAGACATTTAAGCTATCGTAATAATAAAATTTCATAAATTTGTTAGATCCTTTTTCCAAGAATGTCTAAAATTGTATTTCAATTTATTTTGGATGATGATGAATTTATTTTGATCACCATATTAAAAGCTTCATAAATTCCCAACAAGACCACCGATGCTTGGCATTCAATTTTTCGATACCGAAGCGTTCAATGACTCGCAACCTCGTGAATTTATTATATGATTTGCAGACTAGTTCATCTATAGTCAGAGTTCAAGGCTAGTATTTAGATAGTTTTCAAGTTCAAAATTTTATCGAAAATAAAAATGTCCAGACCGAATTGCAATTTTCGATGTAAAAGACGTTTTTATTATCGGTCGCAAATTGCACCGGGGACAAAGGATAAAAAATCAGGAGATATAAATCGTTAGACATCTCCGCTTGGCATGAGCATTCTTTTGTAAACTAGTATAATAAAGTGTTGTGGACGAGAACACAAGCGCAGTGACCAGTTTATATATTCGCGAGAAAATATCGAATCGAACATATTTAATAAAAAAATGTCGAGAGGAATGTTCTAGTGCGCTTGTTCGTACAATACTGGTTATGGAGATTTGAAAAAATAGAAAACATTACTGCCTTCTCGGCTATTCGATTTGAAACATGAACGCGACGCGATTACACCTTCTTGTATTCTTCGCAACTTGGAGTGAATTTGAAAATCAGTATTTTATGCCAAATTAGAAATTAAAAACTAAAAAGAGCAAAGAAGATGAGAAAAAGTTGAGGAGCCAGAAATTCCTCCTATACATGTATATTTATCGGAATCTAACTATACATATAATGCACACATGCAACGTAAATGCCAAGAGAAGCTCTCGGGAGCTGTCGCGCGTGCTGCTGCTTTCCGTATATGTATATCAAATACGTGCTTGAGCTTGTGCGTGTAAAATCGTATATGTACAGGCCTCGGTCGGCACTGACGCGAACCCCACTATAATCGTCAGTACAAGCGGCTCAAGTCGCACGGCTGCTTCATGCCTATAATATTCTCTACGGCTGTATGTTGTACGCGTGAGCTGGCGAAAACCACGGGCAGCCATAACGAAGAAATCGTCGCTGCTTTTATTACAACTAAATAGCACATAAATGAGCTTCAAAGCTCTATTTATATGCGACAGGTTGTGCGCGTGTTGGTGCAATCGCCAGCGAACAAGACGAGAATTGAGTTTTTACTCCATTTAAAATTAACCATCGTTGCGACGTATCGTCCATACGTCTGCACGATTGAGCTACGAGCTAAAACTGCCAAGTTGTACATCGATTGGCTGAAATGTGCATTGACATATCTAAGAATCATTGATATTGATATATATCTCTGCATAGTTGCTCCAAGCTGAGAGCAATTTTTTGACTACGGTGCCCATCAACGATCGTCCGATTGTATCGACGCGAACGCATAGTGCGTAAAAGCTGATCAGGCAATCCTCTCACCCAACTGTCTTGATCGGTCACGTGTTATTTACGGTCTCCGTGAGTCCAAGTCGCTACTGTACACACATGTTGATGGCCAAATAGTAAATATTTGGCTGGACAATGTTTTGCCGATGAGAAAAAATCTACGCACACACGTACGCGACTAGGCTCGCTACGATCGTCTATCAGTCCTACCGTATTAGTACAGCCGAGCGGTAACATCAGTCTTAGTGTCCGTGAGTCGTAGATGCCAACGACCCCGCGGCAGCTTTAATTTCTCAGTTGCTACAACGAGATACATAATAATAAAATACATGTAACGTGCTGCGAGTGCCTGTGTCACTGTGCTGAGTGTGTATACGTTTATTTGTGCATCCATGTGGTACATAATTGACCTCGTCGTCGGGATCATCGTCGATTCTTTGAGAATTCCAAATAGCCCTTCTTTCTGAGTAAGTTTTACTGTTGATATTGTATGTACGATACGCGTGACGAGCCATTGATTACGAGCGCTGATATCTCTCGAGGTAGTGCTAAATTATTTCAGGCGATTCGGACATTTTCGCCGATTGACACTTGTACTAAAATCCATATCTATTCTGGGTTCTTGCCCGAATTTCCCTTTTAATAAATTTAAATGTACTGAATTGAATGATCGAAAAAGTTGACTTCAGAGTTTAAATAAGGGAGCTGTATACTAAAAAGAAATAATTAATTTTCAAGTTCAAATGAATGTGTCAAGAAATTGCATTGTTATCTACTTGTAAAAAATCGCGCATCTCCTAATGGTATTCATCAAAGTATCCATCGCTACAAGGGAGAAAATGATATCCTTTTTTTGTAAAAAAAATACATGGTTATCCCGTTGTTCATACTTAGCATACACTTTAACGCAGTTTCAACTTAACTCACAGTGTACACGCACAAAACTCCTTAAATTGAATATAATCGTTGATATAATTCGTGGAAGTTATCGAACATTTTAAGTAGCTCTAAAGTTAAAATTGTATATTGTAGGCTATATACTCTGGGATTTTTTTTCAAACCCACCTGTTTCTGTGATAATGCCTATTCAAGAAAAAAAAACGATTGCCACCTGAAACAGATACGTTGATACTTACAAACACTATCTTTATTTACGGCTGTTGCGTTTACCAGCGATTTCACTATTATCAGTAGCTTGTATTTCGTTCGCTATTCCATGATGCGATTACAATTGCTGCTTTTTTCGTATTTTTCTTGCGATACTTTTAGTGGAAATTTTCAATAAATTCAAACGCAATTTACAATAAGATCAACGTAGCTTGCAGCAGCTGCTCGAAGCACGCACACATAATCATTTCTCTCAGTGCGATCATTGGTTGGATCTACAGTCTGTGAGAAAATTCGAGTTTCGCCGAGTCCTGTACAGCGCATAAGAATACGAATTATTTCGTTCAATGTCATTTCGAGCTCAACACACACACATACACACACACACACACACACACACACACACACACACAACATACGCACACACATTCATACGTCTAAAATAAGCGCACGAAGAAACTAATGAACGCAAAGTCGGAAGCGGATGTCGTGCGCCACATGCTGCACACATTATGTCTACGCATACGCATGCGATATAGATATACGAGTGCAATAATATACGTACTGATGTATCCCTTAAAAAGAGAGAAAGAGTCATGCGCGTCACGTGCGTAGCCGGGGGATATTGCACTCTCACGCGCGCGCACGATCTTGGAATTTTTCATACACATATACATTGCACATATTCGTCGCGTAAGCTTCAGCAGCAACAACAACAACTTGACCCCGGGCCGCGCGCACATATGTACGTCCATCGACTTACGCATTTAATGTAAAATAAAAGTATGAAATATCCTTTTTTTCGTCTGAACGCGCGCGTTATTGATATCAAATTGCGTGTAAAAAAATATCGTAAAATTTCGCAGGCGTTAACGAGGCGAGCGAGTGGCAGAATACGCATTGCTCTGCAATAACGTGGCTAGTGTAATAAACTAAACCCTAGTTCTGCCACGCGTGAAACAAAACAATCGTCGATAATGACAGATTTTTTACATCACCTACGACTTTTATGCACGCCACTGTAAAAATGTACCTGCTATACAAATGTTTCATACATTTTTACTGTCACAATTACCAAGGGAAAAAGGTGAATTTTTTCCTCTTATTTTTTTTGCACTCGCGTAAAATTGTTCGTGCCGCAGCCGTAGTAAATAAAAAGCAGTAGGTGTAGGCGAGCGCTTTGCGCTTTACGCCACTTCTTGGAACTATAGATATCGAGTGATAATAAAATGACGTGAAGTGACGACTTCTTTTTTTCAACGTGTGTATACAGTTATGATCTTTATCTGCCAACTGCTGCTTTGCGCTTAATATCGCGCACATGTACAAACCTTATATATAGATTATCGCACGTGAATCTTTTTTGTACGTAAGCGGCAAGAGCTTCCAATTTTAAGGTGATATCGAAGCCAGGCCAAAATGAAAATTTTTCAACGCGTTTATTACCATGTTTGCGCAATATTTTCTTAAACAGTTAAATTAATACCTAACAAACAAAACAAAGACATTTTCAAAGCTTTTTAGAAAAAATATTTATTGGAAATTTAAAAAAAAATGTTTTCAAAAATAATTATTTTAGTCTGGCTGCGGTATCTATCTCTTTAATGCATGGTTATCTTTTAAATTATTTACTATGATCGATATATTCAGGTATAGCCACGATTTTGATCTTTCTTCGGTTATGCTGTATGACGGGTCAGACGTTAACCAATTGTTCATTTCAAGAATGAAAAAATAAGAATTTAATAATCGATTGCTCAATGAGATCCAATTTGAAACTCTTTTAAGACACTGATAGCAGAGTTATAACGGAGGTTACTTTGAAAGAATCAATTACACGCAGCAAGTAAAAAGTTGTCTTTAAAGTATCAACAGCAGCAGCAGCAGCAGCAGCAGCAACGGTAGCAATTCGAGCATAAGAGAGTCTATTTAAGTTCATCAAGTTCCCATATACCTACTTGCTGCGTACGCTGGTATATTTATATATAGATTAGTAATAATATTACAAGAGACAAAAGTGGCGCTGGTTTAGCTCTATCTTTCTCTTATTAAGCTATGGGAGCAGTACAGCAGCAGTAAGGGGGGATAACATATGCACGTGGTCGCGTGCGAGTATTTCTGTCCAACAGGGTAAAGCTTCTCAACGTTTTCACCTCATTTTCTCTCTCTCTCAGCTACGAGAAGTGTGCACCGACAACCACTAGATTATTTTTACTCGAGCATATCTGTGAAATTACGCACCAAAGACACAAATCCCGAGTGTCAAGTGGAAAAATGGGAAAAATTCAATATAATCCAAGCTTCTTGATACAGCTACCAAGCATGTTTTTTATTCTCCTTACTAGGGCTGTGCGAGTACCCGATATTTCGAGTTTTACTCGACTCGAATTCTTCGAGTTCGAATATCACACTTATAAGCATGTATACACAAAGGGAGGGGGTCTAGAGACTGTTAATTCATCATTTATTTACTCAAAACTTGAATACATTGCGAGTACTCGAAAAAACTCGATTAATCGAAAAAACTCGAGTACCCGAAAAAACTCGAGTACTCGATTCGAACTCGACTCGTCGAGTTTTTTCGAGTACTCGCACAGCCCTACTCCTTACTATACCAAACTATTATTGGGTACAGTTGTATAGTTCACTCGAATGGGACAGAAGCTAAATTCGTTGCAGTCCTATTTTGAAATTGCCGTCCAGAAGGGTTATAAACGCAAAAGTCCATTGAAAGTCGTGGCAGGCAGTGGAGCTTGCAAGGCGGGCGGACAGGCGCGCGCACGCAAGCTCGGATCAGTTGATAGGGTACGTGCAGACTCCCGTGAGAATCGCCAACAGTGCTGCCCCCGCATTTCTCGCCATTTGCTCTCTTTATTTGCCCATCCGTGTGGCTGGTATAGGCGATAGAACCGTGCGCAGTCCCGTCTGCTGTGGCTGGCTGTGTACGTGCAGTTGCGCGATTATCGCGCGCGCACGACGCCACGGCCTCGAGGTCTATCTGGCTGCAGGAGGATAGTTGTGGCAGTGCATGCGCGCGCCGCCCTGAAACATTGTCGTAGTCGATGTCGGTGCTGCGACTCTGTGTGCACATGCATGTGGGCGCGCGGCTTGCACACGTATACGCGTTACGCACATCTTGGCGCACAAATACACAGCCGTGCGTTGACCCGCTGCTCGTTCGGCTGTGCCTGGCTGGCTGTCTGCCTCTGGACTGTGACTCCGCGAGAGCTGACTGCAGGCTGCAGCACGGACCTACCCGATGGCCACGCATCTCGTAATATATAACGTGCACGCGACGATCAAAGGCACCGACTTGAAGTGAGCCAGCTAAAGAGCTTGGAAGAGACTTTGCGCGAGCTTACGGCCTACTTCCATCGTGTACAGTCGAGTCGAGCGAGTGCCGTAGGATCTTTGTGGCTTGCGTGCGTGCCTTGAGCTGCCTTGTGTCTCTGAGTCGCTATACGAGTCTTATCGTGCCAGCACACCTCTACGTACGTCCATACACTACACGTTAGTACGTAGTATCTCTATCTCTTGAACGAAAGTGACATAATGTGCGTCGGCAGCAGCGGTAGTAGCAGCAGCAGCAACAGCAGCAGCAGCAGCAGCAGCAGAAGCAGCGGCGGAGGTGACGGCTACGGTGGCGGCGTTCAAGTTACGTACGAGATGTGTGCGCGATGAAGGCCGTGCCGTGCGCGCAGACGAGTCTTGTGCCATAAGAAGCAGGACTCCCGGTGTCAAATACATCGTCGCTCTTCTACGCACGTATTATTTATTACACACCTACGTCGTCGTATATATTATTATATACATGAGCTGAAGTGTTGAAAAAAGCCCTGCTTGCAGACGCGCCAATATCAGCTCGCGGAATCAACAGGTCAGCACAGGTAACATATTGTGCTTTTTTATTTCATTAGAGAAAAAATCGCTCAAAAACGAGAAAAAAACAACCTCGTCGCGAATTGTGCCAAGAGGCAGACAGAACGATGTTACTATATCTGTGCGGCGAGTCCAGATAAGATTGCAGCAGTGTATTCGTGTATACCGGTGCTGCTGCTATTCGTGAGTATATTAAACGATGGGATGGGTCGCTTGCGCTGCTATACTGCTGCACAACCCAGTCAGCTGATCGCGTTCTTCTGCTCTCTCTCTCTCTCTCTCTCTTATTCTGGTCTCAGCTTTTCACTGTATTGTGCAGTTTTTACTCTGGTTGAAAAGCTCGTTTTTTTCATAATTATTACGTGGCCGTGTCGACTTTTAAGAGAAAATAGGAAACACCATTTTTCATTCCCTTTTTTTCTTCTGTCTCTTTACTCTTTTTCTTTTTCAGAACAACTAACGCGACTTTGACGATCGAAGC